AACTCTTTGTTCAGTTTAATAACTGGTGATCAAAAGACCAAATAATTATGAAGAAGAATAAAAGAAGAAATAAAAATAAGAAAAGAAGTAGAAGAAGAAGTAGAAGAAGAAGAGAAGAAGAAGAAGAGAAGAAGAATAGAAGAATAAGAAAAAGAAGAAGTAGAAGAAGAAGAAGTCGGAGAAGAACCACAGAAGAAGAAGCACATAAATATTTTGCTGTCAGAGAGAACGTTTCAATTACTGATTTTTGTATTGATCAAATAGAACATAGTAATCATAGTAATTTAATTGTACCGTTTTATAACTTGTGATCCAGAGACCAAACATTTATAAAAGAAGAAGAAAAAGCAGAGAAGCATTTTGCTATCAGATAAAACGTTTCAATTACTGGTTTCTGAGAGAACAAAATCATGTTGATGATTGAAAATATAGAAAATAGTTCCAGAATAACTTGAGAAATATAACTGGATAAACAGTTGTTCAACTAAAATAATGCACATGCCTACATTTTAATAGTCCGCTTAACTTCTTCAATTGCATTTTGAAGATATTAAGTATTTCGGATATTTACTAGATCTGGCCTTAAATAATTAGTTAAATATTTGGTCTCAATGGTAAACATTTCAAACAAATGAGAGGGTTTTGTTCGCCATATATAGGTATTTTGATGAGCTTGTTAGAGTGCACAATTTTGGGACATTAAAGAAGAACTAAGAATAGGAAGCGATTAATAAAATAGGTATTGTTAGAATTGTAATACGAAATAATTACTAAAATTTTTTAAGAAAAGCTTTTTTATATAGTTCAGTACGAAAGCTGATAAATATAGAAAAATCAGTGTGATAAAGTTAAAATATCGTTTCAAAACTTGCAATAAACTCAGAACTGATTAATATGAAAAATATATTTAAAATGTTATTTTCAAATGTTAGGCGCAAAACTTTTCGAACATCATTTATATGACATAGTCTATTTATTTAAATTTTAAGAAGAAATTGACATCGAAAATTGTGAAAGATAAAAAATGTCTTTTATTATCTAGAGCAGTGCTTAAATGAGAGCAATATTCTGAATACACACCATATTATTCCAGTTTAAATTTTATATCTCATGATAACAACGAAATAAGCTAGCATTTTTTCAAATATATGCTGAAGCTTACTCATTATTTTTAGAAGTTTAATTAGTAAAGTTATTCTAAAACTCTTAAAAATTAAATCTAGAAATTTTAGAAGAACTGAGCTTGATATACATAAACAACGCTTGATATCTTGCTATCTTTGTACTTTTATAAAAGATAAATCATTTAAAGCAAACTTTGTTTAGAAAATCAACAAAGAAACTTATCTATTATTAAAACGAGTACTAAAATGAATAAATATATTATTAAAATTGAAACTAAATAAATATTTTCAATTGTTTGCCCAGTATAAGAGCATGATAAACTGCATGAACTCATTTATCGACCTTAGTCATCATCACTCAGAACAAAAGCAAACTATTAAGAGCACTCAAAACTAGTCAAGCAAAGTAACTGGAAGATTGTATCTCAGTACTGCTATGTAGACGAACAAGATAATCAGCTTAAAACTGCTTTGCTACACTGATACGATACCAACATTCTAAGAACTGATAATGTTACTTCTTTCTGCCACGCTGCATAAAGATGCATTTCTTGTTGAAAGTGCATTTCTTGTTTTTAGTATTTCTGGGAAACAAATTATGGAAAATGGAATTAAATTATTGCAATTAGAATGCATAGTTTTTAAACCAACTTAAAGATTACTCCATTAAATCTGTTAATGTTTATTAAGTGAAAGTATTAAGTGCTTTTGAAGTCATATATTATGTTTCATTACTATGATATTTTTAAAACTCTTTTTATATGTCATTAAAATAAATATATTTGTACTTATAAATTTTATAACGTATGCATAAGAATTTATATTGATATCAACGATAGTTGTAATAATAGCAGAAAATATATCATTGAAATGAGGTCGAGGTCTTTTCTGTATTTTACATGTATACAATATCACTCACATTCATATACCTTTATGTTTACTTTCTCATAGATAGCAGAGGGTCATATTTCAGCGACAGAGAAGGATAATACTAGTGCCATCATATTGAACAATTTTCACAGCAAATTTAAAAATATATCCACTCATTTTCAGTGGAAAAATTTATTAGTGTTACGATAAAAGCACAATCAACAAATGCTCTGGGGTTAGTCACCCACCGCACAATTTTTCATTAAGT